ATGATCAATTTGTTCATCCACAAAAACGCCGTCTTCTTAAGCAGCTTTTGGAGGCGGTTATGGGCCGATTCTTGGAAATAAAGCACGAAATGGTGAAGCTTGAACTGTCTGATTACCACTATTTCGATGATATACTAATTGATTTGAAGCTCACACCTACAGAGATGGAGATACCAGTTCCGAAGTATTTTATTTACGACAACTTCAGGGTGCTAAAAGACAGAGAGCATTTCCTGGACCAACTCAGTGGACCACTCAAAGAAGAGGATGAAGTAGTATGTTTTTCCAAAATAAACAATTATTATAATTGTTTGCGATAATAATCCTAATCATTACGTGTGTATACACCAGGCGTGTACCGTTGAGATTATTTTTTCGAAGTTATTGTGGAATACTGCTTTCGCCCCTGTGGATGCGTGCATTTCTCTTCGCGGATTTATATACATTTATACACATGCTTTCCTTTAGGGAAAAAGACAATTGTTCGATGTGTAAACGAGTTATTTGTCCGTGTACCAAGAGTATGCAGTGTGAGGGTTACAATGGGTGGCTCCACCTTTCATGTGTTAGCATCACTATAGCGGAATATCATATTCTGAAGTCGTGTAAATCGAAGCTTTGAAAATTTTGTGCACAGATTGTTCAGTTCTGGCGAGATCTCAAGTCGCGACGTCAATATGTGTTTCATCTCCGCCAGACCTGGACGCCACCGTAATCCAAATCAGACCACCCAGTGCTACCCTGCCGGTTGCCTCAACCCCGATCCGCGCTGATTCAGCCGGTACACCAAATCGGAAAGGACGGAAGAAAAGTGGGCAGAATGACCGGGACGATAGGTGCTCGACTGCTGCTCCACCACCGACGGTTAGCACCACAGCCCAGGTGCCAAATGAAGGAAGACCGCCAGCAGGACCCCTGTCAGAGACCTCGGAGAGGTGGAGGAAACTGGAGAGTGCCACCAAACAACATGCCTCTCAGTGTAACCAGTGCTTTTTAGCACTGAACCTATCCGCGGCCTCAGGGGGGTCTAGTTAGGGGAGACTGAACCACAATTTGTGCCAGTTGAGGTCTATATTCGAAAAAGTATTTAAGGGCGAAGAAACCGTAGCCAATGATATCAGGGTTAAGGCAGCATTCCGCGTGGGCAAGATTGAAAAGAACGGCCTTCCCCATCCCCTGAAGGTGGTTCTCGGTGCCAAAACCCAAGCTGAGGAGGTATTCCGTCGCTCGTTCCGTCTGAAAGGCAATCTGATGTGACTTACGTGATCTGGAGCCCGAAGAACGATCCAGGTTGAAAACTGCACTTGTGGAGCTTCGCGAAAGACAATCCCAAGGAGAGGAAAATTTAATTATTCGGGACTTTCGCGTCGTCCGGAGGAGGCTGAAACTGAAGTGGCCCTCGTTTCACACACCCCAATGCAGTGGTTCGCGCCATGGACGGATCATAGAGCAACAAACGGAGGACAACGCGGACATCGTTCTCTTCAGCGGTCGCGGTTTACTCAACAAGAGTGATGAAATCGAAGCCTTTGATCACGCCCGCAAGCCGGCAGTTGTCGCTCTCACAGAAACCTGACTGGCGGGATATATTGCCAACTCTGAATTGTCAATCCCGGGTTATGTAGTGCATCGGGCGGATCCGAACCCAATTCGTAAAAGAGGTGGAGTAATGGTACACATTCGCGATGAGTTCCCAACACATCTTCTGGAGGTGCACGTCGACCATCAGGGGCTCTTCGAATGTTTGTGGTGCAACATTAAACATTCCCGCAACGGCTATACTGTGGTAGGAGTCGTCTACAGGACTCCTGCATCAAACTCTCCACTATTGTTGGAATCCATGAGGCGCTGGGCTGCGACTGGTCACTGCATCGTGCTCGGGGACTTCAATGCACCACATACTGACTGGGCCCCAAACTGTAACACTACGTCCGCTGACCACTTCTCACAGGAATTGCATTTAACAGTCTGTAAACTAGCTCTTCATCAACATGTGCAGGAACCTACCCGCAGCCTTGGTCAGCAGTTGTCCCCATTGGATCTTGCTCTAACTCCTCGTGTCTCGGACGTAGCTAACACCCAGTTTCTCCCACCTTTCGGTGCCAGTAATCATGTGGTGTTGATTGTATGCTGGAGAAGTTGGACCCGTTTCTCACAACCACCCCCAGAGGGACGAAATTTATGGCGGATACAGTTTGCTGACATACGTACCGCAGCGCAGTTGCTAAACTGGGAGCCGATCGACAAAGAAGATGTCGAAGAGTCGTGGTGTGTCATCCGAGATTGCTTACTACAGCTAGTGCAACGATTCGCCCCTGTACGCAGGAGCCGTCCTCATGCCATGGGACCACCCTGGTTCTATCTTGAGCTTAGAAGTATGCTCCGTAGGGAAAATCGTGCTTGGAAGCCCTATCGTACTTCAAATTCAGGCTAAGATGAATACCGACTAATACGGAACCAGTGTTCGGTAGCTAAGTTGACCAAACACCGTGTTTTTGAGGAGCGTCTAGCTGCTGAATCTGTCCCGGCGCCGAAGACGCTATTTGTGTACTTGAAAAGGAGAACCAGGACGGTGCCTGGTCTCCCGAGTCTTGTCGAGAATGGAATCCCTGCTGACACGGATGTGGACAAGGCTGGTGTACTTGCTCGGCATTATTCTTCGGCGTACACTGGAGCAGAGATTTCGAACTCGTCACCTTCATCCCCTCATCGGGTTTTGTGTTCGCACCTGACATGCTCCGAACCATTGCCCCCTGTCTGGAGGCCCGTGAAGTCTCCAAGGTACTACGTGGCATTCGTTAATACCAATCCCCGGGTCCAGATGGAGTTCATCCGTTGGTGCTGAAGG